TCCGGGAGCATACACTAGCATCAATGTCAAAGGACCTTATTCTGTATATTAAGCAACTATGGGGTACTGTATCAATTGCCGTAGTGAAATCTAAATATGCTATGTCCACAGGCCTTCCTTTATCCAACTTACAGCTCACGTCCTCATAGAATGTGAAAAGGTTGTTCTGGCAAGAACTTGTTTTCATACATCCATGTTGGCTACTACTAATGATACTATTGCATGGATACGGTCCCTTATCAGTATAAAGCTGCAAAGAGTTGCAGCCAGCTGCCCCCAGCTAACATGCCAGCTCTGCAATATTTGCAGGGGCTGACTTTTAATTTTTGCATCACTGACTGAAGCACCTTTTTTTTTTTATATTGTTGTCCATTGGACTCCACTGATAAATGCTATTGTTTAATATGTGCTTAAATCATTTCCACTTTAGTTTAATGTTCCTTATTGCAATAATTTGATACCATGCAGTCTTATGGTATGGAGTGCAGCTTTGTGACGTTGGCTCTTTTGAAAGTTAGTGTTCTTGTCCTACCCGCATGTCTCCTTTTCCTATAATTTATGGCAAATGCTATTCCTTACTTCCACAGCTGTGGTCAGCTGTGTGTTGTTTGAAATTAGTAGGTCCAGCAGAGCATTATTCCTAGTTGAAGCTTCCACCATTTGACACATGAAATTTTCCCACATTACATTCAAGAAATGATGGGCCTTAGCTGAGGGAGCAGCTGTGTCTGCCCCCTCAATGTCAAGATGATTAAACTCCCACTGCTTATAGCATTGCCCTGCCCAGGCTTCTAGCTCTCAATGAACTGAGGGCACTGATGTGCACCCTTGGAGGACACATATGCAGGAACCTGACATTGCACCCATGGTCAGCTGAGTGTGTGTTTGATACGCTGTAGCCTTTTATGGGAAAAAAACCAAACACTTTTTTTTCCTGCAAAAATATGTGCATTTATATATTTTTCAAAAATTGAGCAAGCTTTTGTATTGGTCATAGTGAAATTGTGACACATGTAATCCCAATGAGGGGACACAAGTGCAGTTTTCTCTTCAGCACAGATGCTGTGTTTTTTAACATGTAGATAAATCATTTTTATATCTTTAACCAGTTCATACAAATGTGATAATATATAAAACGTGTTTTTAAAGTAAAAAGAGTCTGAACATGCAGTAAAGCATGCTTGTTATACTCATGGTGGAACCTAAGCAGTTAATCCTCTCCTTGTTTAAAAAGGCTGTTTGATCCTGTCTTCTGTCCCTAATCCATCATCTGATAGTATAGAGCTCTAGGAGTCACTGCACATGTACAGTTTAGTGTCTATAGCTAGATGTTTCCCTACCCCCTTTGGAAGCTTGCATGTGTTCAGCACAGGGCCAATTGGCACTGTCCAGGCAGAGGGGCAAGGGTTATGCAGCCTGATGGGACAGTCAAGAGAATGAAAATGCCTCTTACAGGCTTTAACCAGTGCTCAGCTGGCCCCTGATGGGAGTCACAAGAATGCTATACAGGTAGGTTCTCATATTTGGACACAGGAACAATTTTTATACTTTTGGCTCTGTATGCCACCATCATAAATTAAAATAATCCAAATGAATTTGAAGTGCAAACTTTCAGCTTTAACATCAAGGGGTTGAACATAAATATCAAGTACAACTTTTAGGAACTGCAACCATTTTTATACACAGTCCCTTCAGGGACTCAAATGTAATTGAACAAATATAAATAAAATTTTCATCTTTATTATTTTGGTGATATGACATCCTCCCAGAACAAGAGAACCCCCACCCATCTGTCGTTTCCTTACATGGCAGGCAGCAGTTAAAATGTGAACTTAGCCTTTAATTAAAATGCAGTGGTCATCTGTGAAAGGGTTGCATTTATAGCTGCAAAAATATCCTTAAGGCTAAACAAACTGGACCAAAATGCTGTATAATATTTGTTTTTATAGGTCTATAAAATTTTGATTAGACTTCATCTAAATAATTGGTACAGCCAAACAGCAGAGAGGGTAGGCATCTATAACTGCAGTGCAAAACAAGATGTTCATTTAAAATTACATTCACTTTAACCCACTTGGTAACTGCGCTATAGCCAAATGATTGCTTCAGCAGTTACCAAGTTCTGGGAGGGCTTCATATGATGTCCTCCCAGAACACACCCTCCCATGCACCCAACACTGTCCTACAGACAGCTGATCACGTGATGAGGTAAAAAGGCCAATCACAGCAGCCTTTTACCACGTGATCAGCTGCATCCAATGACAGCAGATCATGGAGCAAATACAGTTGCCAGTTATCAGCAGCACTTTACTCACATTGTGACAGCATGAGGAAAGTACTGCCAGCAGCTATCACAGATCAGATCTGCACTGATCAGTGCCCTGCAGTGGCACACAGTGAAAGAAAAAAAAAAATTACCTGTTTGTTTCTATTAAATTTTGCGAAGAATAGAAAAAAACCCAATGGAGATTAACTAGTTGCCGACCACAGATAGGCAAATGACAGCTGCACTGCAGCCAGCCAGTTCTGGGAGGGCGTCATGACGTCCTTGCACGCCCCCAGGGGCATGCACCCTGCGATCTTTGTAATTGCTGTGTCCTACAGACAGCTGATTACGTGATGTGGTAAAAGGCCAATCACAGCGGCCTTTTACCACGTGATCAGCCGTGTCCAATGACATGCTGATCACAGGGAAATGCAATTGCCGGTTCTCGGATGCACTTTCCTCACACTGTCAGAGTGTGAGGAAAGTATTGCCGAGAACCGGCAGTTGTCAGAGGGATCGGTACCGATCATCAGGGCTCTGATGCTCTGTGCCCAGCAGTGCCACCCACCTCAACACACACATCAGTGAAGGAGAGAAGGGAAAAAAAAAAAAAAAAAAACCAGCGGCAAGTAAATACCACCAAAAGAAAGCTCTATTTGTGAGAAGGAAAAAAAGATAAAAAATTTCATGGGAACAAGGTTGCATGACTGCACGATTGCAATTCAAAGTGTGACAGCGCTGAAAGCTGAAAATTGGCCTTGGCACAAAGGGGGTATAAGTGCCCAGAAGGCAAGTGGTTAAAGTGCTATTAAACCCAAAAGCAAAAATATATTGCAGCTCATCAATTCTTTGCTAGTACCAGGTTTGCTCTTCCTGTCGCAGCTTTTTAGAAGACAAAAAAGGTAGTCTCTGTTCATGTATTGCTAATTGGTATGAATAGCAAGGGGGAAGAAAAAAATCTTGGGTGTCTGCATGTGGCATAGCCATGGTGTTCCATAGAAAGAAAAACTGCATAATCAGTGGCATTTCCCATACAAATATTTTAATGCGTACCTGCCATTTACACTATAAATACAATAGCCAGTGGCTTTTACAACTGAACATTAGGCCAGTAGCTTTACAACACAATGCCATCATTCACATTCACTTTATGTATTAAAACCAAAATTGTGAATCTTCCTGGGTAGACCAGCACAAGTAGAGCCTGCTGTTGGACTAGGTTTGTCAAAAGTCTTATGAAAGTATGAGTTTCAAGGCATAATTGCTCACTCTGGACCCCCCTTTTAACTGGCACTATGGGTATTCAAACATCCCACCAACAGTTTGAAACTCCAGAATACAGCAAAAAGTATAGGTTGGTTTCCTTTTTTAGCATAAGGAGTGAGAGAAGTAGTGTGGTGTCATAGTTTTCATATAACAGAAAGTAGACCAAGTTCTAGGGTTCGACCATGTTTGCACAAGCATCTTGAAAACCTATTAACACTGCTGGTGCATAGGGGCCATTTGCTGTTCCCACTGTGGTGGGACAAACATTCTCTTGCAATTGCTAGCAGCTGTGAAACTCAGACTTTTGAAGGCAAGGTTTCTGCTCAGTCTGGAAAGAGCAAATGCTGTTCCAGATTAGTTAGAACCTTTAACTGTATTAGGCTAGGTTCACACCATTGTGGGTCTGCAGGCACAGCAGGCAGTTCATTTGAATGGGCTGCTGTGCCTGCGTTTCATGCAGAGTGCGTGTCTATCTTTATCGCAGCCACTATAGCATAGAAGTTGGGCTTGGAAATTATAAAAAAAAAAAAGGCTAATCTGGTTTCCTGGTCTTGATCCTATGAGCCACTGGAGCAGCAGAAGGGCACCTTCCATTTATCAGAGTGGCAAAGTTGTAATAGCTACTAAACTATCACAGCAGAACCAAGTACACCCATCTGTGAACAGTGTTTGGATATGCATGGCCAAAGTGATAAAGACTTAATAGTATGCACAGGTTTCAAAGCTAACATTGTTCCATTCTAGGAGCAGAGTTGCCCCCATTAATAGGTCAGTGACTTGTACAAGCTGCCTACATGTCCAAATGACTGGAGTGTATTTTGTCTGGATTGATTGCACAAATGTAACTGCCATTGTAAGCATAATTTCAAGCCCACCAACAAAACCCAACATTGGGCTGGTGTCTAACATCTAATTTAATGGCAAGCCACAGCACACAGCTTCTCAAAGTAGATCAGACATCCACATGGAAAAAGGCCAGTGGTCTCAAATCTGCACCAGCCTCAAGTAGGTCATGGCCAGCAATTTGTACTAATAACTGCCACATTAGGATGCTACACAATCAAATTAGTTTACAAGCTAATATGTTCATTGAAACAAATGCCTTCACGTGACCCTGTCAAGACTTGCCATGCTCAAACACTTGTTTTGCTGTTTAGTTAACATTTATTGTCAAGAACAGTGATTTATATAGATAAACAAATATGTCAACTGCTTGGTTAGTGCAAACTGCACAAACCGCTTTAGAAAAAGTATAGCCAAGCAAATATCTAAAAACAAACATACATAAAATTTACAGGGTTTAAAACGATAAAAACAAACTTAAAAAAACTTTGCTTCATAATTCTGTTCAGATCAGATTTCCAATACCTGAATGAGTTAGAAAAAAAACAAAGTTTCCATAATAGAAAAATAACTGTACATCATGTGCTTTTTGTCCATATACATTAGAAAAGTCCAATCTTTAAGATTATAAAAATATAGAAAGGGACTCTGGAGGCTCAACTGTTGATACACCATGATACCTGAAACAGAAAGAAGTTCCATCAATGGAATAAATTAACTCCATGGTAACAAGGGGATAAAACACGTGAAACCAAAGTAAGCCTACTTTATTCATTCAAGTATTTGTGAACCCTTACTTTGAAAAATAAAAAAAAACCCAGTGTTTAATTTCATATAAACAGTTAATTTCTGTTTTACCAAGTAATCACATAATCTGTTCACAGCTGCTAAGGGGCTTAGAAAACAGGGAAAGAGAAACAGTACACAGATTTTCCCAGTGAATAGCTGTGTGTGGCAGAAGTCAACCATTGGAGGACAGGCAGGCTCCCAGCACAGCCAGCAAACTGACCACACTGGAATGGATGTGATCAGTTGAAAGAGCAGAGGGACTGGCTGAAACACCAGGTATTTCACACAAAAGGAAGCAATACAGAGAAAAAAAAAAAAAAAATGATACAATGTTTAATTGCACATGTACATGGTACAACAGTCATATTAGGAATATGAAGTGTTGGGGCAACAGTCTTTAAATGCAATAGATCAAAAGTATGTGAGCAAAAGTGACACAGAATTTTAAAAAAAGGTTTGCAAATGCATGGAGGAAAAAACTGAAATCACATTGGCATAAGTATTCAGACTCTTCCAAGAGCTGGTCACCTGGCCAAACTGAGCAATCAGGGGAGAAGGGCCTAGTAAGTGAGGTGACCAAAAACCTGATGGTCACTGACTGAGCTCCACAAATCCTGTGTGGAGATGGGATAAAGTTCCCCAAGGACAACCATCACTGCAGCCCTCCACCGATCGACTTTATGGCAGAGTGGCTAGACAGAAGCCTCTCAGTGCAAAACACATGAAAGCTTGCTTAGTTTACAAAAAGCACCTAAAAGATTTCTCTGACGAAACCAATTGTTTGGCCTCTATTCTAAATGTTATGTGTGGAGAAAACGAGGCACTGCTCATCACCTGCCCAATACCATCCAAACAGTGAAGCATGGTGGTGGCAGCAGTATGCGATTGTGTGGTTTGTTTTTTTTTATTTATTATGGGCAGCAAGGACAGGGAGACTACTTTGGACAGGGTTGAGGGAAAGCTGAAAAGGGGAAGGAGGAAAAAAAAAAAAAAAAAAAAAAAAAAAAAAAAAAAAAACACACCCCAGGATGCCCTCAATGAAAACCTGTTCTGCAGCGCTCAGGACAGAATTGGGCCAAAGGTTCACCTTCTAACAAGGGACAACTGAATGTCTTGGAGTAGCCTAGCCAGAGCCCCAACATGAACCCTGTTCAACTATCTCCAGAGATGTTAAACTGCTGTCCACTCTGACTGTTCCTAACCAACCACCAAGTGAGCATGAGGGGATTTGCAAAAGGCGGCAGAAAGTCCCAATCCAGGTGTGCAAAGCTCATCACGTCATAACCAAAAGACTTGAGGCTGTAATTGCTGCCAAAAAAAGGTGCTTCAGAGTAAAGGGTCTCAATACTCAAGTACATGTGATTTCAGTTTCTTTAATTCAGACACTAAAATTCTGTTTTAACTTACAGAGTATAGATTGAGGGAAAAAAAAACCCCCACACAAAAGTTAATGCAAACAATGCATTAGGGAAAAACGTTTTTAGATTTAGTACCACATCTTTGACTGCCCATCTTCCCCACATTTATATAAAATGCCAAGATGCACAGCAAAAATGTTGACTGGGTATGGTATGTGTCAATACACAGCAGGGATGCTCTTCTATACACAGCTTCGATCTACTCAGCACTTAATTCCGTATCAGTACCTATCTAACACGATCTGTCACTGTAAGTTAGTCTCCCCTAACCAGGTCAATGATTAAAAGATAATCACTTAAGCACTTTTAGCTGATAAAGCTACTCTATTAAGACTGGAGGGTTTAAAAACACCTTAAGGACCAAGCCAGAGAGGAAAAACCCTTTAATAGTCATAACTAAGTGCAGGTCTCAAAACTAGTTGATCTTTCGATAACCCAACCAAGCCCATTAGGGAAGAGAGAAAAAAAAAAAAAAGTTACGCAATGGATAAATTTACTCACTTTGCATTTTTGTATTTCTCGCGCACAGCCTGTTGTTGGTGGGTCGAGACAGAAAGATAAGTGCGATACAGATCCAAGATGCAAGGTTTAAGACTTTCTAATGAGTATCTTGTGAACTGGGCCAAGGAGTCTGGCTGTGGGAAACAAAGTTAAAATTACATTTTATTTAAAAAACAAAACCAAAAACCACCCAGACACACAAGTCTTCAAACCAGAGATTAAAGTCTACATGCTCGAGACTTCACAGCCAAAAGTAAAACCAGCTGAAGCCATATGTGTGCAGTTTGAGTTGCCCGGCTTTCCAACATAAAGCTGAACTTTTCTTTGTCACTACTCTTCTTGTGCAAGGCAATAGTGCTTATAGGACAATCTCCCACAATTTTCTATAGTTAGCTGGCTGGGTGGGCCGGCCAAGTTCCTCCCACAGTTCTGCTCTCAGCAAAGGAGATATAGATATATATGAAACACAACTATGTCACTGCTACTTAGATCCTTTGTGGCTACTGAGAAATTTAAATGCCCAGAGGTTGGCTTTAAGACCTAGTTCAATGACAATTTTGGATTTACAAAAACACATACCCAAGTCTCATCGTTTAATGTGAAGTTTGCAATGACGAAAGCCGATGCAGCAACAACAGATGGCAAATATCGGAGGAAAGGGTCTGAATCTATTAAGCTGAGCTCGCCCAGATACTGCAAAAAAAAAAAAAAGTAATGGAAATTTTTGTAAATGCAGTGTAAAGCAAGCATGCCAAATACCCCTTGCAATTTAATACAGTAAACACTTACACATCAGTAGCAGGTTTTATAATCCTGCTAAACGTTGGATACAATTGCTAGACATTTATGAGGATCCTAGACTGACTAGATCTAGAAGATCCAGCAGTTACAGTATTGCCTACAAAAACAAAACCATTTCTATTTTGCAGTGGTATAATTGACTAAATCCTACCACTGCAAGTGTTGCTAGCTCCATGGCAGTTCTATCACCAAGACATGGCAAGGACCCTAGGTGTAGACCCAACGCCTAGGTGGTGATTTTGGCCAGACTTTCAGGCCTAATGTACAAAGCTTTGACATACAGTCCCATGCCAGATCCTCTACTTTCCTTACTGATACTGAATTGTAAAACAGGGTGTGTTGGGTGTAGATTAGCACTAGTAGAAAAACATTTTGCCAGCTTAAGTCCAGGCACATGAGGAAATTCTGTGCAAAAAACCTGACACCACACAGACTAAATAGTTAGATGAAATTGGCCAAGATTTGTGCATCTGTACATTTGTTTTCACAGAGATCTAGCACAAAGCTTGTGCTCGGGGCAAATTGTAAACAATTAGGAGATTCAAAAGACAGATTAGGCAGCCTCAGTACTAAAAAACGGTTTTAGAATACATCCACTTGAGTTTCGGAAGGTTTTATTGCCTTCATGACCAGGCCATTTATTTTGCAATTCAGCACTGTGCTACTTTAACTGATAATTGCTCAGTCATGCAACACCATACACAAATGAAATTAGAATTTTTCACACAATTAAGAGCTTTCTTCATAGTATCTGATCACCACTGTTGAGAGAAAGATCTACCCCAAATGTGACTTACTTTCTGCAAAAAAAAAAAAAAAAATTCATAAGCCTCAGTCAAAATGTATTGTACTCAATATTTTTGGCAAAATATGTTATACGCAGACACAAGAATTTTTAAACTTGTGTTGGCAGTGATCAGCAACTTACATTGGGACAGTGACACTGATGCTGCCTGGGAAGTACACCGACACCACTACTGTGATATACAAGTTTACCCACCCTGAACCTGGAAGACACTGTCTACTTACAAGTATGTGACTGCTTGTAAAAGATGTGGGCAGATACAGAAATAAGAAGCTAAAGAAAAAAATAAAAATAAAAAAAAATGGGATGAAAACTTGTGTTGCAGCTAGAGGGCTGGAATAATCCCTAGCTTTCATCTCATTTTAGGTACAAAAGTCAACTGTACTGAGTTTCTAAGCTCCGTCCCTAGCCATCTGATTCTTTCAGCTTCAAAACAAGATCTTAGCATTGGTGCCAATTTCACAACACAAGTAATCCAATTCTTAAAGCCCCATATCAGGCCCAGGAAAAAAAAAAACAAACCCTGCAGGCTCCCTGTACTGCAAGGGTTAAAGGCTTATGAGGTCAGGGGTAGAAGAAGAAGCTGTAACATGTACCCCATTCCTCACTCCAGCAGAGGACCTTCACACTGCACAACCAGCCTCTGGTTGAAAGCCAATATCAATGAGCAGTTAACCCTTTGAAGTGCAAGGGGCCACTACAGGAAGTGTTTTTTAATCAGATTCCACCTTTAATAACTTTAGAAAGGCTGTTTTAGATAATATGTAAATAACATGCAACTGTACCATGCACAAGCTTTCCATTTTAGAAGCCACTGGATGGAGCCGGAAATACTGATTGAGGTATTGTAGGATGGTTGGAGCAGCAAGGTCAAAGGACAGAACTTTAAGAACCAAATGTTCCATTTTAAGAACTTGTTTCTTGTTGTAAGTGTCATCAGTTATGTAAACAAATTCGGCTACTTCAGGTGGATAAATCTCTTCAAATTTCCTGCATTGGAAGAGACAAACCTGTTAGAACTCCATGTAGGGGGGAGAAAAAAAAAAAAAAAAAAAAAAAAAAGTGTTCTTTTGTAATAGTCGATGAAATACTTACGAAGCTAAAAGCATAGCAGCAGTGCCAACTAGTTGAAGCTTTCCCCGTAATACAGACATTGACGACAAGAACCTGTCAATGTAGTTCACAGCCAAATAAAGAGTCTCATTCTGCAGCTTGTATTCTTCACCAACTTCAACTAGCCAGTCAACAAGGATTGCACGCATGTTATTCGTTATATCGGGCTGCTTCTGCATGTAGCCAGCTTTGGGTTTACACTTCATCTGTAGGGAAAATAAACAAAAATTAAGGGGGGGAAGAAAAAAAAAAAAAAAAAAAAACGCCCTGGACCCTAATGTTTTCCTATGTGTCCATGCACACTGTCATTTACAGGCAGTTGAGTTTAGTCTTTTTTTGAATGCAAACTTGCATTCAGGAGTAGATTTTATCAGCGTTTCAAATGCCAGTAAACACTGCTAACCACGTTTAAAATTTTTTTTTCTCTTTTAATCTTCCATTTCAAGATGCTGTCCAGAGCCTTTTTTCATCATGAAAATGCATGCAAAAGCGTTTTTCCCAGTACTCAAATGGACCTAGTACACCATACTTTGAGGTTTCGCGTGAAATTAAATGTTAGACACTGCTGCTGCGACCATTTCTGCACAGAAATTAGCTGGAACACATCCAAACACCAGAGAGAAAAAAAAAAAAAAAAAACCCCACACACAACTACTGCTCTGCTTCTGCTCTGTTTTTCTCAAAGTGTCTGAAATAGTTAATTTTTTACTGTTTTTCAGTGCATTTTGGAAGGTCTCCTGAAGTCATCTTTAAAAACACTTCTAAACGCACATAAATACGGTATGCAAACACGGCTAACCAGACTTTAGCCTACATTTTCCAGCAGGCAGTTTCCATCGTTCAGAAGTGTCCCGTGTACATGGAGCCTTAGATGGGCTAGTGGTATTTGTTTAGGTTTACCCCCTCTTTATCCAGCCAGTAACTTTCTACACTAGAGCCGCTACATAAAAAAAAAAGCAAAAAGACACGACATGAATTCTTGCCATTACAGTCTAATTTGCTCTTGCAGAGCTACAGCTGCTGCTAGAATAGCATCAAAAACTTTAGAAAGTGTTGGATAATTATGTATTTGCAGAACCTAACAAACCCTCACTTTCTGGTAGTGAGGAAGCTTGCCTTTACTCCCTGCCCCCCTATATACATATTGCCCCATTACGCATGGCAAGCCACACAGGCCAATAGAAATGTATACGAGGTAAAAGGGACAGGCAATGTTTAGCATAATCAGAAGTGCTGAAGCTTTGTCCATTAGAATGGGCAGGGATTCAGCCATGACAGAGGCGTTTAGGGAACTGCAGCAGGTATTTGCTAGTGCCCCTAGGTGCCTGCACTGAACCTAACATTTAACAATGCTTATGTACAGGCACCTTGTGGCTGTATGTACTTGATTCTTCAAATTTGATCCCCATGTCCCTGTGGATTTTATATCCAGGCTATACAAGTTAATCAAGCAGAGCTTTAGTGCTGCCCTATAGTGCCAAAGACCTACACACTAGAATTCTGCATGACAGGCAGTGCCTAGTACCAGGAATGGCAAGACTTAGTCAGAACTCCACAGAAGCAGAACTGCAGACACTAGCCCTGTTACTGTCATATTCACGTCAAACTATGCAGTTTGGGTTTTGAAAAAGTTTGCAACACGGCTTATCCACTAGTCAGAACACTTAATTACCTCCATTTCCCTAAGATAAGTGTGAATCTCTTCTGCATAATCTGGAACTTCATTACTACGGACCACCTTTTCTTCCTCCTCCACAATGGACATATCCATTGGAGAATCTGCGGAAAAAAAAAAAAAAATTATAAAGGTGGAAGTGAGATAGGCACATTTGTGGCCATGTCATGTAACAATTAAAGCAACATGCATACAGCAGCTCCTAAGTAGTGTCAAAATTAACTTGCAGTTTCATTCAAAAGCAAGAGGTCATCGGACCACTTTGTGTGTTACACCCATATTTAGGGTGCACTGCTTAGTCCACACACTCATGTTATTCAATGATTAAAGGGGGGAAAAAAAAAAAAAAAAAAAAAAAAAAAAACACACACAACAAAACACCATGGAACGGGAAGAGACATCGCTCCGGTTCTCCAAGGGCATAGAGATGAGTGGCGGCCATCTTTCCTTCACTCATCTCTATGAGTGCTGGGATCAATGGTTTCTCAGGTAAGGCTGATAACTACTGGGTGGCGAGGGTTCTCGGCACCTGTATCGGTGCTTTTTCTTCATTTCGGCCAAAAGGGGCGTTTTTGGCCACCGAAATTTTGATGCATCCCTAACCTTAACACATTGCTGCAAGTGGGTCCTTAAGATAAAGCAAAATACTTTGACTGCCATTTACTGAGCCCTATGGCCAGAGTTAACCACAATGCAGGCATAAAGCACAAGTGTGCATTTTAATGCCATTTCAATACCTGGGCACCAGAATCCTAAGGCCAACCATCCACTATACAATCTGATCCTTTAGAGCCTCTTTCCACTATGTGGATCAAAGGATTGTATGATTTACTTTAGATAGTTTTTTTGGGCAACACTAAAAAAAGATTGTATACAGTATATGGCATCTTCAGACAACTGTCCACTTATGAATGCATGAGTACCCACTAGCATTTGGATAGCAAATTACTAATATGTTATTTGTGAAATGATATTTGTGCTTATGGGAATGGAGCACTTAACAGACATCCTTAGGGTGGAGCAAGGAAAAATTTGAAGCCATCCAAATCCTCCAGAGAAAAAAAAAAAAAAAAAAAAGCCAGATCAGAGGTTTTCCAATATTCATGGGCACCTAATTACCCAAGACTTGAAAGGTGCTGGGAAGTGTTCAAAGATGAAATGCACTTGCATACTGCACCCATTCACCCATTGTCAAGAGTGAAAGCCAGAAGTAGAAAGCACTACACCAAACAAATGTGCATAGACCATCATGTTAGTATTATGTGGCCAGTGTTCATTTTAGTGCAGCTTCTGAAATGCAATGACCAAGCAAAGCAGCTGCCAGGATCAGCTCTGCCTTACCATAACTAGTATGGACTACTGGGATTTCTATGGGTTCCAGAGGTTTCCTTTGTCCGAGAGAGATGACCACTTTATTCAGCTGTTTCAGGTGCTCATCCTGCACAGGTTTTTTTGTAACTGGCTGCTTCCGATAGTTTGCACAGTCCGGCTCATCCACATGGATTGCAAAGGTAGCCTGCTTGACAGGAGCTTTACCAGCAGGTAGTTTTCCATAATTCTCATCGTTGGTACCCAAATGATTGCGTACAGTAAGAATCTGAATATAGGAAGAGAACAGTTAAATCATAGCAGCACAAGTATGCCATATTCCAAACCATTTCACAGACCTGATAAAGGAATTTATACATTGGAAGAGTCCAGATTTAAATGTGAACATTAAGGTTGATTAATGAGATTTTCTTGCAGACATTAAATCACTGATTAATGGAGATTCGTAGCTCGTGAGTAATTGCTAGAGTTGCTGGCGATATACTACAAATTGCCCATTCAGCAATTTGTGGCCAAGCAGAACGATTGCTGCAAATATCCCTAGGCAACCATTAAAGCTGGCTTTACACCAGTGGCAGTTTGCCACTCTGAAAAGCAATCTGGTGGTATACTTTTCAGTGTTTGGTAGGGGATGAGGTTGTTATACATAGTCTCCTCACTGCCCATTTTAAAGCTCAAAATGTTGACCTAACACTTGAATAGGTCACATTTCACTGCCTGCCAAGCACAATGGTGGAGGGATTAGAACACCTGTCAGTTTTTACTGCTGCCTGTGCCCTTGTTGGCATACTCACCTTCTATTGGTCCGGTTTACCATTATTAACAAGAAAAGTCAAATCTTGTGTTACCAGAACAGGAACAGAAAGCCAACCTTCCAATGGGGACACTACCAGGAATCCCCTCATTTTGATAGGAAGGATCTCCTAATTTCAGGACATGAAATTTCCTTACACAGGCCACAGATGGCAAAAAAAACTGGCAGGGGTTACATCCCTCCCTTAGGCTGCTTTCACACTGACACTTTTGGGGGGGGAACAAAAAAAAAAAAAAAAAAACACCATGGGAGAAAACTGCATCCCTTTAATTCCTATGGTGGCCTTCACAATGATCCATTACACTTAAGGGTGGTGAAAAAAAATCCTGCTTGCTTCATTTTTGATGCATGTTTGTGCAGAAAAAAAAAAAAAAAAGACCAGAAGTGTATCCCTCCATTGAAATTAATGAAAAGGATAGCAAAAATGCATCAAACACACAAACCCAATGCACCTGTGGGAAAGTACTTTGTTCAGTAGGGGAGTAAAAAAAACGCAACATAAACATTGTAAAACGCACCTGTGGGAACATGTGTTTCTCAGCAGAGCAGCGTGAAAGTAGCCCAACATCCCGGTCACATCAAACCTGACTTTGAAACTGTGTGAATTACAGTGACATCGCACGATTTCAAAGTTGGGTGACATGCCAATTTCAGGTGCGATTTGCAGGATCTCTGACAGATGTCTATACAAATCGCACCAAAAGAAGTGCATGTGCTACTTTAGAAATGGGTGCAACTCCTATCAATGCGGAACGGCACAGATATGACTGCTCTAATTGCGGACAATAGGGTGCAACTTCACATGTAATTTGCAAGTCACATTCCAATTCGCATCCAGTGTGATGGGTGTAACTATTCAAAACGAAAGCCATTGATTCCACTTCAAAAGCCAGTTTACACCACAAAAAACACTATGGATGTGTTTTTGCTTACAATTCCGCACTCCATTCTAGTGCGTTGTGCCAGTTTGTGTGCAGAAATTAAAAAAAAAAAAAAAAAAAAAAAATGCAGTCTTCACTTTTTTTTCTGCACGGGAAATTGCACTGGTGTGAACTAGGACCATTGGAATACATGGATTTTTGATGAAAAGAAAAAATTGTGTGCGCCTGGGTTCACACTGTAGCTTTTAGCAGACACACAGGGGTGCCAATATTTCTCGAAGGCACCCCTCCCCCCAGCATCAGAAAACATTAACATTTTTTGGGTGCAGGAAACCATATGCTTGCATAGAAAAAAAAAAAAAAAAAAAGATAAAAGAAAAAGGGACCTTTTGAAGGGCAGGTGCAGGAGCCTATCCCAAGAAACAAGCTGCAAAATGCCCATGCAAACATGAGTCACCCCACCTACCTCAGGGTGAACCCGGCCTAAGAACAATTGTAGCAGTTTTGCAGCTGCGCTGAAATATTGCTGCATGGTAGTTGCTGAGAAAATCACACCACAAAGGTCACATTCAGCAATCATAGAAATGCATTAGGTTTTTCTTAGTGACACAGTAACAAAAGGGGGAGGGGTGTAAGAAAACCCCCATTATCATTGCCTTCCATAGATCTGTTGAGCCCCCAGCAGGTTAATAGAGCGACAGAAGGAAATAAACCCAAATGCAAACTACCATTAGATTGTAAGCTCTGATGAGCAAGGCCCTCCATCCCGTGTACCTGTATAATCCAGCACTGTGCACACACTATGTACTATACAGTCCTTGTATAAGAATCCCTCTGGATTGATCACCCCAGCCTCCTAGGCCAGGCACAGCAATCCCCCATAGATCTCCCTGACAAAGGTCACAGGGTATGAAATGGCTGCCTCCAGACTACAGAATGTGATCCCTGATCTCAGCCCTGACAGTGCACTGGATCCATCCCAGCAGAGTGCAGTGAGATCAGAGCTGGGAGGGTTATGAATGGCAGGCAGGGCAGGCTCATCGATCGGTATTGGAGGGAAATGATCTGCCGGTGATCTGCACAGGCCTGGTACCCCCCAGATGGATGACAGCATGGTGCAGGTAGGAATGCACCCCTCCCAGGTCCTAGATAGGCCATATCCCCCCTCATTACGGCCGATCACCCATTACCGCCGATCACCCATTACCGCCCCTACAAAGGCCTAGATAGAGCTGGGGAGGACACAGAGCCGAGCCCCCCGTGCAATCAACATACCGGTAACGACTGCAGCTTCCCTCCTCGTCCCTGAGCCCCCCGCAGCCCCCGATTTTCCTGCAGCACTCCCAGCACGGTGCGGCCTCCCTGCGGCCCGGCTTGCTGCTGGAGTGGCGCCTTCCTGGGCTGGACGTTCTCCTGGTTCTCATCCCGCCGCACGTACGAGGACATGTTGCTCTAGGAGCCGGAATTAGGGAGAGTGCTCAGATATACGACCCCCCTGTCCGGAGGGAGAAGCTGGCTGCACACTGGAGGAGGCTCTGAACTCGGCAGACCAGGGAGCCCGCTCTCACCGGCGCCCACCGAGCACAACACCTGTCCGGTTCTCCGCGCCCGCCACGCTCTCACTTTGTCCGACAATTTAATTCCTGCGCGCTGCTGCAGCGGACACCCTTCTCAGTTCAAGTAGCCCGCGACTATTGAAATCCGCCAATCACGGGACAGCGCGGGTTAACGTCATCAGGGCTACGGCTGCCTGCAGGGGAAAAAAAGGGAAGAGCGAGATCAGCTGACCGTGACGTCAGAGGTGGGCGAAGAATGACATTAAATTATACTGGCGGAGTGTATTTAGGGTGTACTAACAATCACATTGGACTGGGATCAGGTCACGTCACGTGGTTAAAAAGGAAAAAATCAGGGCAAGAATGGAACACAGAACATACACAAAAATGGAATACAACACAGAAAATGGAACACAACATACAACACAGAGCATATAAACACAAACATACAACACGGAGAATGGAACACAGAACATACAACACGGAGAATGGAACACAACATACAACACGGAGAATGGAACACAGAACATACAACACAGAATGGAACATAGGGAATACAACACAGAGAATGAAACATGATATATGGAACACAGAACATATAACACAGAGAATGGAACACAGAACATATAACACAGAGAATGGAACACAGAACATATAACACAGAGAATGGAACACAACATAGAACACAGAGCATTCAACACAGAGAATAGAAGACACAGCATGGAACACAACATACAACACAGTGAATGGAATACAACATACAACACGAAGACTAGAACACAACATACAACACAGAGAATGGAATACAACATACAACACGAAGACTAGAACACAACATACAACACAGAGAATGGAATACAACATACAACACGAAGACTAGAACACAACATACAACACAGGGAATGGAATACAACATACAACACGAAGACTAGAACACAACATACAACATGGAGAATGGAACACAGAACATACAACACGGAGAATGGAACACAGAACATACAACACAAAGAATGAAACACAGAACATACAACACAGAGAATGGAAAATGATACATGGTACACAGAGAATGGAGCATGATACATGGAACACAGAGAATGGAGCATGATACATGGAACACAGAGAATGGAGCATGATACATGGAACACAGAGAATGGAGCATGATACATGGAACACAGAGAATGGAGCATGATACATGGAACACAAAGAATGGAGCATGATACATGGAACACAGAGAAGGGAGCATGATACATGGAACACAGAGAATGGAGCATGATACATGGAACACAGAGAATGGAGCATGATACATGGAACACAAAGAATGGAGCATGATACATGGAACACAGAGAATGTGACACAAGGAATGAAACACAGAGAATGCGACACAAGGAATGGAACACAGAGAATGGAATAGAATACATGGAACACAGAGCATAGAACAGAAAACATGGGACACAGAGAATGGTACATGTGAAACAAAACATGGAACATGGAACACAGGGAATAGAACATGGAACGCAGAGAATGGAACACGATGATACAATTAAAATTCATTCAAGTCTATGGACCTCAGCATGTAGTGCTATGTTTACCCCCCTTCCTGACCAGGCCATTTTTGCGATATGGCGCTATGTTACTTTAACTGACAATTGCGCGGTCATGCACTGCTGTACATAAATGTAATTTACATCTTTTTTTTTTTTCCACAAATAGAGCTTTCTTTCATTAGTATTTGATTGCCTGTGCGTTTTGTATTTTTTGCGCTATAAATAAAAAAAGACCAACAATTTTGGAAAAAAAACAATATTTTTGGCATTTGGTTTTAAAACATGTCCAGTAAAAAATGTTTTAAAAATCTAATTTCTTCATAAATTTAGGCCAAAATGTATTCTGCTCCCTGTCTTTACTTAGAAAAAAAAAATCCCAATACATGTAAATTAATTGGTTTACGTGAAAGTTATAGCGTTTACAAATGGCGGTATATATACTGGAATGTTTTTTTCTTTTTTTACTAGTAATGGCTGTAATCAGCGACCTATAGCAGGACTACATTCTGGCACTGGGGGGAACTGACTAACTGCCACTGACATCCACAGTGACACAAATACAGTGATCATTGCTAATAAAAAGTACTGACACTGTATTAATGACACTGGGTAGGAAGGGGTTAATATCTGGGGTGATCAAAGAGTTAACTGTGTGCTGTTTTACTGTGTGTGCTGTGTGTGTTTTACTAGGGAAATATGCTGCTTTGTATTTCCCTGCTGTGCAGAGAAATACACGGCAGCATGTTACTGCTGGCAGGAGAGAGACTTGTGTTGTTTACAGACAGGTCTCTCCCCTGTCAGTGATACTCAGCGTTGCACCGGGTGCCGGCGGGGAATCTCCAGCCAGGACCCAGTATTTACATCTGTAGCTGCTAATAACGGTGCGGGTAGGGCTGCACACACGTACACACACCCCCTACCCGGAAATGCAAAATCACGTATACTCCGTGTTCCAAATTATTATGCAAATGATATTTTTTCTCATTGACCTAAATAATTGATGTAAATAACAGTCAGCATAATTCTCATGTTATCAACTATTAAGAGTACAATTCACATTTTATTGAACAAACCTCTTAATGATAACAGGATTTTTGTTAAACATAAAACACTTACAATGCACTGTTCCAAATTATTACGCACAGTAAGTTTCAAAACACTTTATAGGTTGTAAAGAACTGAAAATTGTCATTTGTTGTGTTTGCAGCATATTTACTGAAATCAAAAGCTATTTCAATCAAACTTTTAACAACATTTTAACTTTTTAAACATTTTAAACAGGTCACGTTACATTGTAACATAGGACCCCTTATTTGATAGCAGCTTCACAAGTCTTGCATCCATTGAACTTGTGAGTTTTTGGACAGTCTCTGCTTGAATTTGTTTGCAAGATGTCAGAATAGCCTCCCAGAGCTGCTGTTTGGATGTAAACTGCCTCCCACCCTCATAGATGTTTTGCTTGAGGATGCTCCAAAGGTTCTCAATAGGATTGAGGTCAGGGGAGGATGGAGGCCACACCATGACTTTCTCCCCTTCTATCCCCATAGCAGCCATTGATGCAGAGGTATTCTTTGCAGCATGAGATGGTGCATTGTCATGCATGAAGATGATTTTATTACGGAAAGCATAGTTCTTCCTTCTGTACCAGGGAAGAAAGTGGTCAGGCATAAACTCCACATACTTTGCAGAGGTCATCTTTACACCTTCGGGGGCTCTAAAGGGGCCAATCCGCTCTGTTCCCATGATTCCGGCCTAAAACATGACTCCACCACCGCCTTGCTGACGTCGCAGCCTTGTTGGAACAGGGTCGCCGTCCACCAACCATCCACTACTCTATCCATCTGGACCATCCAGGGTTGCACGGCACTCATCAGTGAACAGGTTTTCTTAACGAAAATTTAAAATGCACTTGGCCGAAACCGAAATGTGCAGTTTTTAAAAATGAATATATATTTTTTGGAAAAAAAATACACTTTGATTAAAAAAAAACCCCAAAACACAATATATACCCCAATTGTTTAGTAAATTATGAAGAGGATGTTACGGCGAGTAAATAGATACCCAACATGTCATGCTTTAAAATTGCGCACGCTCGTGGAATGGTGTGAAACTTTGGTACTTAAAAATCTCCATGGGTGATGCTTTAAAAATGTCTACAGGTTAGCAGTGTAACATTACAGAGGAGGTCTTGTCCTAGAATTATTGCTCTTGCTCTGACGTTTGTGGTGATACCTCACGTGTGTGGTTTGAACACCATTACATATGTGGGCGTGGCCTACATATGCATTCATCACTACGTGGGGGGGATGGGGGCACTTTATTTTTTCAAAAAAAATATATTTCATTTTTAAAAACTGCACATTTTGGTTTCGGCTTTCGGCCAAGTGCATTTTAAATTTTCGTTAATAATTGACTTTTGGAATTAAAGTGTTACTAAACCCAAGACCCTGCATTCTCTCTATCCGGTCTCCCACAGTACACACAACATGGAAATGTAATTAGTTTAGTAAATATAAACTGCTAAATACCTTTTCTCATCAGCAGTTAGAGCAGTCTTGTGACTTCAACAGAGCACTGGATAAAGCTTGTAGGAGGAGTTTTCTTTCTGCTCTGGGAGGATGCAGGACCCCTGACCTCTGTCTGGACGGTGTTGATTGGACCTGTGCTGATCACATGCACTCTCCCAGGAAAAAAAAAAAAAAAAAACCTCTCTAGCAATACACACTAAACTGAGCATGTGCATGTGGCTATGGGTTCAGTCTGTCTTATCAAGTGGAAATTTGAATAAGAGGAGGGGCAGAGAAAACAGGATCAAACATCCTTTTACACAATGCAGAGGATTAACCCCTTAGGTTCCACAGTGAGTATAACAAGCATGCTTTACTGCATATACAGATTGATTTTACTGTTGTGGGTTTAGTAACACTTTAATTCTCTGTCCCTCTTTCCTCTTCATTTGTCCCTCATTTTGATCAGTTGTATAGACCTCTATAAAAAATGCACTATTTACCTATCAAAAGTGTTGTACTGAACCTTTCATCCAATTTCTAAATGTATTCTATTTTTTTTTATAAATTTCAAAATCCATATAAAGGTAGTGGTAAAGAAACACACTTGTGGGTTTAACTAATCATTTTTTGTGTATTCCTTCTCTATATAACAGGGGTATGCTTTCATACTTTTTTGTAAACAGTTGTCCCTATGTCCTGTATCAGAAAGTCGGGAAGTATAATTATGGTATATTGCTGTCTGCCTGCCAGTCCCCCTGTTTTCTGTTCTAGTGTCACAGAGAGAGAAAGTGAAGGAAATTCTCCCCAGGGGAATCACAGACTTCCTTTAGATTGTA